TTTACTCATTTATGCACTATATATTATTATGAGCATACATTTGCATATTAAACTATGCTTGAATAATCATATGTTATCATTCACTTGCAACTATATGATTTTCATGCATAACATATGTTTTCACATCTTTACTTAGCTTTATATTATGTTTACATATGTTTTAGATTAATTTATTATGTTTTCATTTCATTTAGATATCATGGCAGCATGTATTCATTCATTCATTAACTCATATCATGTTATTCTAGCTCATGTTATGTTTACATTAGCTCACTAGCTTTAAATCCATGATTCTTTAGCTCATTTGCATGCATGCATCTATTTTCTAGCTCATATATGTTTTCTTAAAGCTCATAAACGTCATATGCCTTTTATCTAGCTTATATACATGTTATCTTAGCTTCTAGATGATCATTCATAGCTTATATCATTCAAACACCTCACGACAGCATGCATTTTACCTTAAATGAGCTCACACGTTGCTTACTTGGTTTGTTTGTTAATTTCTATAGGTGAAACACAAAGCAAGGCATATTATGGTAGCTTGGTTAGCTAAAAGGATAAGCATAGCAGCTCACACTAGCTCTTGAACATTATGGCAGCTCATTTCATCACTTAAGGAGCTTCAACTTAGCTGGAGGAGCTAGCATGTAGCTGAACCTAGTTGGAGGAGAGCTTTGGACCAAATTGTTGAAAAGTGGACGAAAGGTAGCTGGAAGTAGCTGGGAGAGTAGCTGAGGAGCTGAGAAGACCAAAGCTAACTAGCTTGAGTTCATCAAGCTATAACTCACCTAGTTAGCTACCAAGACACTCACCTAGCTTACCTTGAAGCTAGTTCATCTCTAGGCTGCCCATGGACTTCAAGACATCATCCTATGGTTTCAACCTCACCAAAGCCTTGCAAGAAGACCCATGTGCGTTCAAGTAGGCTGCCATGTGCATCATTCAAGCATGTGCACTCCATGTGACATCAAATTGGCGCCAAAACACCAAGGGATGCTTCCTATTCGGCCAAATACTCCTTCCTCTCCATTTTGGCGCCCAAATAACTTCCAAATGCATTCAAATCATCCTTAGGGCCGAACCAACACATAACCATTCGGCCAAGAGCATGTATCTTCATTAAAATCATGTATTTTCATCAAAAATCATGTATTTTCAAAGGGGTTTCAACCTTGGCCGAACCATCATGTGTCTATTCGGCCTAAACCCTTTGAAAAAACTATAAATAGGCTAGTGTATTTCATTTGTAAGCATCTCATCTCATATATAAAACATACTCTTGTGAGTTAATTTCTCTTCAAAGTTCTTTGTGAACTTTATCGATTAAGCAAGTATAATTTCTATACTTGTGGCGTCATTCCTTCCATTTTGATTCCTAAATTCCTAGATTGTTATCTAGTGGGTTGAAGACACGATCACCACCCCTCAAGCAAGTTTGTAAAGACCGGGATTGTGCTATATAGCATAGTTTCCTCTTTGGCGTGTTTGGGATACTATCACCACCATCTCCATTTCGTCATTTCCATCATCAACAACACCCATCAATCCATCAATTCCGCAGCCATCTCTATTCTTATTCTTTTATTCCATTACTTATATTATTATTCATTTCTTAAACCCATTATTAATCATATTTATGTCTTATTATTTTGCAGCCCAAGCTTATTAATTCAAGGACATCAGTACTTGTCAATCCTAGATCGGGACACAATAAGGCTATCTACTCTTCTCACCAAAGTGTGTAGATTCGCCTTACATCAAGCGGTAATCAGAGCATAGTTGGATTGACAACAAAAGTGTCATTTGGCGTGCAAAGCAAAAAGAAGTTCAAAAGAAAAAAAGACTCCTTCAACAAATTAGAGTGAAAAAAGAAGAGAAAAATCAGAAAAGAAGAAAAGAAAAGAAAAGAAAAAGTGAAGTTCAAAAAGAGAAAACAAGCCAAGGAAAGTGCTCTACCATTACAAGAACATCAAAGAGGTCATCTACACTAAAGAGAAGATAACCTTATTGTTTCTTGAGAAAGGTTGCAGTAAGTGTTGTTTCTTGAATTGTAAGTCACCTCTTCCTTTTTTTATACTTTCATTTTCCTTGTCTTCAACCATTTCATTCTTTTAATCCTTTCTTCTACCTATCCATATCCTCTATTTCTTCTACCCTAACCTATTTGCAGCTGACACACACAAGGAAAGAATTAAATTTGTTATAATCTTGAGTAAGTTCCTCAAAGGACTTAACAAGAGAAATTGAGTGGAAAAAGGCTAACTGAGAGAGTGAGATCAGAAGGGGAATTGTTAAAAGCCAAATTATATTCCCGAGAGTAAACACGAGTGTTGAGTGGAGTGATCTCTTAATTTTCTTTGGAGTGAAGATTGTGAGGCTTTGAGAGTGTGCTGGTAAGGTTTTTAATTTTTTTTCTTTCTTTCTACTAACAATGTCTTATGATCTTTCATCTTTCCAAACAATGGAGAACGAACAGCAAAGAACAAACACATTTCACACTCGTTGCCATGTAAATGATAAAGTGTGTCTTGTAGCTATTGACGGAGGAAGTTGTACAAACATTGCAAGTACATACATGGTGAACAAATTGGGGCTTATAACGATTAAACATTCCAGCCCATATGAATTGCAATGGTTGTATGGCAATGAAGAATTGAAGGTTACTGAACAAGTATTTGTTCCATTCTCACTTGGAAGTTACAAAGAAGAGATTCTATGTGACGTGGTACATATGAATACTAGTCATTTACTCTTGGGGAGGCCATGGCAATTTGACAAGCGTGCTGTTCATGATGGTTTCACAAACCAATACTCCTTCTTTCACAATGAAAGGAAACTCATCTTGACTCCACTATCTCCTAGCCGAGTAAATGAAGATCAAAACACCTTGAAGAAGAACATTGAAGCAATGAAAGAACAACTTAAAGACAATGCAACTGAAGACTGTTTGGAGAAAAATTCAAATGAACAAAAGCATTTTGAAGTTGATGTGAGCACGTTTAGGGCCGGTTTTCTCCATGACGAAAACCCCTCAAGGACGTTCTACCTTATTAACTCTAAGGGAGTAATTCCTTACTTTATTACTTATTTACTTATTTATGCATTACATTGCATATTAGTAATTAAGTTGTTTAGTATGTTAGAGTAGCTTTGCATATCATGTTTCACAATTTCGTTCAAACATCAATTCATGTCATGCATATTATTAGTTTTTGCATTCCATCTTAGCATTTAAAATGTTCACATGTTATGTAGCATGTTTCCATAAACAGCATACACATCATATATATAACTAATGTGCATTCATCTTAGTTCCTAGGTTTTCAACTAAGTTCACGTGTTGTTCACACAATAAACATATCATAGTGCAAATCATTTGCATTCATATTTAATCGTTTGATTAGCTCATTAGCATTATCATATTAACATGTTTCATGTAAATCCATGCATTCATTTTTAATACTTATAGTTTTCACGTGTTTTTCATGTTTTTACTTCCATATGATTGCATAGCATTTATGTTGTTCATTGCATTCAACACTGTTCACGTGTTAAACAGCATATCCTTTATGAAGTTCATCAATTGCATTCATATTTAATTGACAGTACATTTCACTCATATTTACATCCAGCATCTTCACGAGTGGTTAATATAGTTAATAAACATGCACATGGTTTCACAAAACACAAGGTCATACATGGCAGTAAGTGTTTGAGCACTATATCATTATAATACTTGTTTATTCTTGCACTTATAGGGCATGCCCATGCTGGACGGTTTTTGAAGAGCTTTCTAACACATTTCCAGTACAAATACACGGCAACAAGCTATTATATTATGGAACCTATTTGGCAGAATATTGGAGCATTACTTTCAAACAATTCCAGCACAAGACACGACAATATGGGCATCATAAAAAATTCAAAGCATTTGGCAGCATGTTCAGCATTTAAGACATAAACAATTCATCAAGGGAACATCAAGCACATGCCCCATGATGCACGATTTTTAATGGAGAAATATCCAGCATTTCCAACTCACCAAATCACGTAAAAAAACTGGGCAGATTCATGAAACATCTTTGGAGAATCAAATGAGCTGGAAAATTCATCCCACTTGTCCTTATTATATTTCCACTTACTTGGGCATAGGATATAGACTTTTGTTTTAATGATAATTTGAGAGTTTTCTCTTAATTGAGTCCTTCGTGACTTTTATCGACTTATCAAGTAATTCGTTACTTGTGGCGTCATTCCTTTCACCTTGATACTTATGGTTCCTATCTCTTTATAGATAGCGGGTCAAAGTCTGATTTACCATCCCTTATCGAAGCAATATAAAGTCGGGGTCGTTGTTCTTTAACATCGGTTCTTCTTTGAGTCTTCTTTAAGATACTATCGTTTCACCATCCCATAATTCGTTATCCATATTATTACCAAATCCGAGTCTTCCGCTACTATCTCTTAAACCGACCATTTACCATCACATTTACCACCGTAAACTATCCATTTGTTACCATTATCTTATGCAGGTTGTTTCGCTTCCTTCCTAGATCCACAATCGATCGACGAGTCCGGACGTGATCGCGTCATTTGGCATCAGAGCTAGTTGGAAGAAGCACCGTACATCAAGCGAGATTATCGTATCATGCAGTAATCAGAGTTTTTAGTTGGAAGAAGCAACGTACAACGAAAATAAAAAAAATATATACAAAAAGAGAAGTGCAAGTATAGTGCAAAGTGAAAAACGAAAAAAAAATCAGCAAAAGAAGATTAAAACGTTCAACAACAAGACTTATCACCAAGCCATTCAAGTAAGCTTTGATTGATTGTGGTGATAGAAAGGTTGTGAATTAAATTTGTCCGACGCACATCGAGTAAAATCTACTTGATACGGTTTTGAGTAAAGTCATTTTAGGACTTGACATAAAGAGAATTGAGCGGTAAAAGGCAAGAGTGAACACCAAGGGTAAAAGCCATCCCGAGTTAAACACGAGTGTTGAGCGACATTCAAGTTTTCTTTGGAGTGAATTGGTGAGATTCTTTTTATGTTACTAACAGTTATTTTGATTATTTTTATTAATCTTTTTCTTTTCATTATGTCTCGAAAGTACACAAGATCAAATGATTATACAGTAGATGATGAACGAGATTTTTTATCAAATTCTCAATTTCAAGATTTCAGTCGAGAATTGAGGAGTTTGCTCAAAGAAAGTCTCAACCCAATCATAAAGACGATGGATCGTATAATCGAAAAACGTTCTTGTTCACAAACACCTCCGCCGAAGATCAGGGGCCAAATCAAGAGGAGAGACGACACTCGACCCGTTCCTACATCCAATTGGAACGAAAGATCTTACGAAGAGGATTCCAATTTCCGAAGCAATGTCAAAAGTTCAACGAGAAGAGAGCCAAGAAATTTTGCATGTTTTAATCCAGAAAGTCTAGCTCGTCTTCAAGAGTGTGTTGACAATTTCGTCAAAGAAACACAATTGCAAGAACAACTACAAAAAGAAAGTGTTTGCAAAAATAAAGAAGTGAAAGTTGAAAACGACATTGAGAGCAATGAAAATAAGAAAATCGATGTGAGAAATGTTGGAGTCGAAAATGAGAATGAGAGTGAAAATGAAGAATTTGAAAAAGAAATTGTTTGTGCAAAGGAGAAAGAGTGTCAAATTTCAATTTGCACTAACAACCTTAACCATTCTTCTTCTATTTTTGGATCTTCATTGTTGCAGGAGGACAAGACGAGTACTTCCAGAAACATGATAAACACATCGCCAACCCTATTGATGATCGAGCATCGTCCATGCTCTAGCAATGTTTCAAAGAAGGACTTAATGAAAATTTCTATTCCCAAGGAACTGGTACCCAATGATATCATCAAGTATCATCCAAGGTTTAATCTTTCTAACTCTTTTGTTATTGATTTACCTACTAACTTTTATTTACTATTTGGAGGGACGATACAAAAACGTGGAATTGATGTATTGAGTTGCGAGGATAAGTATCTTTGCAATCTTGATAAGAAATTGCCACTCTCCAATTTGCAAATAAACGATTTGAAGGAAAAGCTATCCCACCATCCTCATGATGATTCAAGGAAATATGAAGTTACCAAATATGAAGTCAAGAGGTTGACCATTGGAGAAAGGTATGAGGATTCCATCCATCCTACATCAAGAAGGTCTTCAATGAGAAATCATTTCGATTTGAGGACAAATCGCCAAAAAGAAAGGGAGGATGATGTGAGCACGTTTAGGGCCGGTTTTCTCCATGACGAAAACCCCTCAAGGACGTTCTACCTTATTAACTCTAAGGGAGTAATTCCTTACTTTATTACTTATTTACTTATTTATGCATTACATTGCATATTAGTAATTAAGTTGTTTAGTATGTTAGAGTAGCTTTGCATATCATGTTTCACAATTTCGTTCAAACATCAATTCATGTCATGCATATTATTAGTTTTTGCATTCCATCTTAGCATTTAAAATGTTCACATGTTATGTAGCATGTTTCCATAAACAGCATACACATCATATATATAACTAATGTGCATTCATCTTAGTTCCTAGGTTTTCAACTAAGTTCACGTGTTGTTCACACAATAAACATATCATAGTGCAAATCATTTGCATTCATATTTAATCGTTTGATTAGCTCATTAGCATTATCATATTAACATGTTTCATGTAAATCCATGCATTCATTTTTAATACTTATAGTTTTCACGTGTTTTTCATGTTTTTACTTCCATATGATTGCATAGCATTTATGTTGTTCATTGCATTCAACACTGTTCACGTGTTAAACAGCATATCCTTTATGAAGTTCATCAATTGCATTCATATTTAATTGACAGTACATTTCACTCATATTTACATCCAGCATCTTCACGAGTGGTTAATATAGTTAATAAACATGCACATGGTTTCACAAAACACAAGGTCATACATGGCAGTAAGTGTTTGAGCACTATATCATTATAATACTTGTTTATTCTTGCACTTATAGGGCATGCCCATGCTGGACGGTTTTTGAAGAGCTTTCTAACACATTTCCAGTACAAATACACGGCAACAAGCTATTATATTATGGAACCTATTTGGCAGAATATTGGAGCATTACTTTCAAACAATTCCAGCACAAGACACGACAATATGGGCATCATAAAAAATTCAAAGCATTTGGCAGCATGTTCAGCATTTAAGACATAAACAATTCATCAAGGGAACATCAAGCACATGCCCCATGATGCACGATTTTTAATGGAGAAATATCCAGCATTTCCAACCGGTTCCACTATGCCCATATTTGCCATGAATTAATGCACGAATTTGTGAGCATAATTGATGCCTTCAATTGTTTATGATACCTTTCTCTCCACTCATCCTTGTTTTCCGTGAGGTGTGCTGGAAATGGTTGAAAGAACTCCATTGAAAACCGTCCAGCATGGGGCATTTCCCTTGTGTTCCTACAAGTGCACATAAACAAGTAATTTAATGATCTTGAATCTTTATAATCTGATTACTTGCTGTGTAAACGTCCTTGTGCTTTGTGAACCATGATTGTATGTTTATTTAAATGATATGAGCAACACGTGAAAGTGCCTAGATGAAAATGAATGCATTGAATCAAAAAAAACGAATGCAAATCCGTATTTTTTTCCAGCATGTACTGTCTTCGGTAATCTGTGAATATCTCAAGTTTCCAGTATCGGATTGACACGATTCAAAATGCGTTGGAAAGCTAAGAGATAGGGGTATAAATTTTAAGAGACTACATCACCCAATTATGCTTGTAACATGTTCAAAACTGGAGATTAATATGAGTGACGTGAACTGTCCACTGGAATGAATCAAATACCTTGTTGCTGTGCATGTATGTGTCCTTGTGAGCTATGAATGCATGATATAGTGAACTTTAATATTTAAATATTAAAACTAAAATGAGTGCACATGAATTAATTAAAAATAAATGATAACATGCTGTTATGTTTAATATGAATACAAAAACGTGCTCAACAATATGAATGCACATGAATGGTAATTATAATTAAAAGAAAACATGATGTTGTGCTTAACAATGTGAAAATTACTAGCATTAAAATGGATGCATGGAATCACACGAATGCATGTTGCTTATTATTAAAATATGCTTAGATGAATGCATATGCAAATATAACAATATGGATATGATGATGATAAGTATGCTAAATGATGTTCATTCAAAATTAACATGAAATAATTAATATGCATGAATGATATGCAAAACTTATCCTACATGTTGATCATACTTAAATACTTATATGCAAGACATGTAATGCATAAATAAGTAAATATAAAATAAAATAAGGAAGAGCTCCCTTAGATTGATCTTGATAGAACTTCCTTGACGTGTTTACGTTGTGGAGGAAGTCGGAGCTAAACAGGATCGTATCATCCTCCCTTTCTTTGAAGCGATTTGTCCTCAAATCGAAGGGTGACTTCTCCTTAGCTTCTTCCCATTCAAATGTTGCTGATTCGTCTTGAACCAGCTTGTCGTCTTTTGGTCGGTCAAGAGTGATGTCTTTGGAATCGTCCCAAGGTGGATCTTTAATGAGCGTTGGTTGCATAATGATGGAAAACTCCTTTGGTTGTGGAATTTCCTTCAATATGTGCAATGTACATGGATTGTCAAATATCCCATTCCTTTGCAACTGAAGTGGTATATCCTTTGGAACGTCATAGGGCATAACTGTTGTTTCTTCAAAAGACATGTTTATTGAATCTTCAATTTGGAGTGGCATGTCTATTGGACTGTCCTGCAAAACAAAAGAATTAATTGGAGGAAAAGAGTTGTTAGTTGAATCATGTTCTCCATTCTCCTTTTCTTCTCCATTGTTTCTCGAATCAATCTGATTTTCTGCTTGTTCTTCTTGTTGTTCTTGCAAGACTTCTCTTTCAACACTAACAGTTTTATTTACAATGATTCTTGTCTCCTCGAAACGTTCTTTTTCAAGGATTACTTCCATGGCCTTCGTTTTCTCCCATTCTTCTATGCGTGATTTCAGTTGAATTTGGTCCTCATGCACTTGATTTGGCAACATTGGCGCCAAAGCGATCTTCTTTTCATTATGGATGAATGAAAATCGATTGGTGAAGCAATTATGTGTTGCTCTTTTATCAAACTGCCAAGGTCGACCAAAAAGAAGGTGGCTCGAACTCATGGAGACAACATCGCACAAGACCTCATCTCCATATCTTCCGATTGAGAATGGTACAAGTACTTGCTCTATGACTTCTAACTCTTCATTTTCGTTAAATCCTCGCAAAACATATGGATTGGGATGTTTAATCGTTGTAAGTCCCAACTTCTCGACCATGTATGTGCTAGCCAGATTTGCACAACTTCCACTATCAATGGTTACAAGACATACTTTACCATTGCTTACATGGCAACGAGTATGAAATGTATTCATCCTTTGTTGTTCGTACTCCATGAAAAAAAAAATGTTAGTGAAATAAAGAATGGAAAATGTGTAAAAGGACCTTACCAAGAATGATTTAACAAAATCTTTGGAGTGAATTGGTGAGATTCTTTTTATGTTACTAACAGTTATTTTGATTATTTTTATTAATCTTTTTCTTTTCATTATGTCTCGAAAGTACACAAGATCAAATGATTATACAGTAGATGATGAACGAGATTTTTTATCAAATTCTCAATTTCAAGATTTCAGTCGAGAATTGAGGAGTTTGCTCAAAGAAAGTCTCAACCCAATCATAAAGACGATGGATCGTATAATCGAAAAACGTTCTTGTTCACAAACACCTCCGCCGAAGATCAGGGGCCAAATCAAGAGGAGAGACGACACTCGACCCGTTCCTACATCCAATTGGAACGAAAGATCTTACGAAGAGGATTCCAATTTCCGAAGCAATGTCAAAAGTTCAACGAGAAGAGAGCCAAGAAATTTTGCATGTTTTAATCCAGAAAGTCTAGCTCGTCTTCAAGAGTGTGTTGACAATTTCGTCAAAGAAACACAATTGCAAGAACAACTACAAAAAGAAAGTGTTTGCAAAAATAAAGAAGTGAAAGTTGAAAACGACATTGAGAGCAATGAAAATAAGAAAATCGATGTGAGAAATGTTGGAGTCGAAAATGAGAATGAGAGTGAAAATGAAGAATTTGAAAAAGAAATTGTTTGTGCAAAGGAGAAAGAGTGTCAAATTTCAATTTGCACTAACAACCTTAACCATTCTTCTTCTATTTTTGGATCTTCATTGTTGCAGGAGGACAAGACGAGTACTTCCAGAAACATGATAAACACATCGCCAACCCTATTGATGATCGAGCATCGTCCATGCTCTAGCAATGTTTCAAAGAAGGACTTAATGAAAATTTCTATTCCCAAGGAACTGGTACCCAATGATATCATCAAGTATCATCCAAGGTTTAATCTTTCTAACTCTTTTGTTATTGATTTACCTACTAACTTTTATTTACTATTTGGAGGGACGATACAAAAACGTGGAATTGATGTATTGAGTTGCGAGGATAAGTATCTTTGCAATCTTGATAAGAAATTGCCACTCTCCAATTTGCAAATAAACGATTTGAAGGAAAAGCTATCCCACCATCCTCATGATGATTCAAGGAAATATGAAGTTACCAAATATGAAGTCAAGAGGTTGACCATTGGAGAAAGGTATGAGGATTCCATCCATCCTACATCAAGAAGGTCTTCAATGAGAAATCATTTCGATTTGAGGACAAATCGCCAAAAAGAAAGGGAGGATGATGTGAGCACGTTTAGGGCCGGTTTTCTCCATGACGAAAACCCCTCAAGGACGTTCTACCTTATTAACTCTAAGGGAGTAATTCCTTACTTTATTACTTATTTACTTATTTATGCATTACATTGCATATTAGTAATTAAGTTGTTTAGTATGTTAGAGTAGCTTTGCATATCATGTTTCACAATTTCGTTCAAACATCAATTCATGTCATGCATATTATTAGTTTTTGCATTCCATCTTAGCATTTAAAATGTTCACATGTTATGTAGCATGTTTCCATAAACAGCATACACATCATATATATAACTAATGTGCATTCATCTTAGTTCCTAGGTTTTCAACTAAGTTCACGTGTTGTTCACACAATAAACATATCATAGTGCAAATCATTTGCATTCATATTTAATCGTTTGATTAGCTCATTAGCATTATCATATTAACATGTTTCATGTAAATCCATGCATTCATTTTTAATACTTATAGTTTTCACGTGTTTTTCATGTTTTTACTTCCATATGATTGCATAGCATTTATGTTGTTCATTGCATTCAACACTGTTCACGTGTTAAACAGCATATCCTTTATGAAGTTCATCAATTGCATTCATATTTAATTGACAGTACATTTCACTCATATTTACATCCAGCATCTTCACGAGTGGTTAATATAGTTAATAAACATGCACATGGTTTCACAAAACACAAGGTCATACATGGCAGTAAGTGTTTGAGCACTATATCATTATAATACTTGTTTATTCTTGCACTTATAGGGCATGCCCATGCTGGACGGTTTTTGAAGAGCTTTCTAACACATTTCCAGTACAAATACACGGCAACAAGCTATTATATTATGGAACCTATTTGGCAGAATATTGGAGCATTACTTTCAAACAATTCCAGCACAAGACACGACAATATGGGCATCATAAAAAATTCAAAGCATTTGGCAGCATGTTCAGCATTTAAGACATAAACAATTCATCAAGGGAACATCAAGCACATGCCCCATGATGCACGATTTTTAATGGAGAAATATCCAGCATTTCCAACTCACCAAATCACGTAAAAAAACTGGGCAGATTCATGAAACATCTTTGGAGAATCAAATGAGCTGGAAAATTCATCCCACTTGTCCTTATTATATTTCCACTTACTTGGGCATAGGATATAGACTTTTGTTTTAATGATAATTTGAGAGTTTTCTCTTAATTGAGTCCTTCGTGACTTTTATCGACTTATCAAGTAATTCGTTACTTGTGGCGTCATTCCTTTCACCTTGATACTTATGGTTCCTATCTCTTTATAGATAGCGGGTCAAAGTCTGATTTACCATCCCTTATCGAAGCAATATAAAGTCGGGGTCATTGTTCTTTAACATCGGTTCTTCTTTGAGTCTTCTTTAAGATACTATCGTTTCACCATCCCATAATTCGTTATCCATATTATTACCAAATCCGAGTCTTCCGCTACTATCTCTTAAACCGACCATTTAC